ATTGCCATCGGCAATCGGCCGTGGACCGCGGCCATTGGTCGGGATCGTGAAAATAAAATACCGCCGAGGCGGAGGTGGGCGATCCGGGAGAATCAGAGTTATCGACGTCGTACGACGCGGAAGGAAAATGAATGGAACGAAAGAAACAAGGGTTGGAGGAGCGAGAGCCTCGACAAGAGCGAACGAGCGGGAAGGAGGGGAGACAGGAGGGCGACGGGAGGATTGGACAACATTAGGTGTAGGGGAGAGGGTGGATAGGAAGTAGAATCGAATGATTCTGGCTGGCTGATCAATTTCATACGCTTGGACCTCCTACGGCGGACTATCCATCACGTGGCATTTGACCCTTCGTTTCTTCGATTTTTCCTACCTCCAGCTGGTCGGCCGGCGCGCCCCCTAATTCCCAACCCAGGGCCCCTTTTCACCCTTCTCACGCTGTTTTACCCCGTCGGGAGATCACGATATCCCAGCGGCGACGAGGGCAGCGCAGATCGCTTCCGCCGTTGTCGTCGTCGCGGCGACAAAACGCCTGCAAATTGCCAGCGAGTTACGAAATGCTGATCCCTCATGAAAATGAAACGAATCACCCTTTGTGCCGGTAACGTCTTTTTTTTTCTTCTCCTCGTTTCTGTCATCGATCTTTCTTCATTAGCGGCGCCAGCGGATTACTGTAGTCCATGCCGGAGCGTATTGCACGTATACATACATATTTATATCGAAAAAAAATTGTCGACGTTGCCGCTGTCGCTGTCGCCGTCGTGGTTAATCCTCTTTTGTTAGTTCGTGCTGTCAAAGCGCGTTTACGACTTTTTAATTTACCGCTGCAAGCATTAAAAGCAAAACCATCGTTGACGAATTAAATTAAACAAAAAGAAAGGGAAAAAACATCGGCGTCCACGTGTCGAAAAAATGATAAAAAATTTGCAGCAGATAATTAACTTTTACAAGTCTTTAATTACATTAGTCGTTGCGGATACAATAAGTCAATTCTTTTCAGAAAATTTGATTAGAACTTATGAATGATTAGATTTATATTTTGAACTTTTGCATATTTTATAATTTAGAATATTTTATGAAATTCGTCTTAGATGAGTTCGCTCTGAAATCACACAAGAGACCGTACTACAAGACGTTTTTACGAGAAAAGAAAACTGTTTAAAACGTGGCATTACATTGTAAGATTACATGAGCGTATACTATTTTGTAACAATAGAAAATATCACGAGTGTGTGGCCGATGTTCGATGATGCAACTTTCACGATGTGTGAAAGAGGTCGGAAAACAGCAGTGACTTTGTGGGGAACAGTAGAAGGGCGGGAATAAACACATTCTCCATGCGGTAGCGTGGTACGCGGGTTAGAACATGGCATCTACCCGGATTTATCTCCAGGGACATATCCGCGAAGTTACGTCGCTCATGGGAGTGATAGAGCATCGAGTGTACGCGAACGTCGCGTCCAGAAGGAACGTATCTTCAATTACGCCGCGTATCGTTCAGATTAAATGCGTGGTAAAAATATTGGCCAACATAATACGGTGATTAGTTTTAATTTACGGTATCGGTGAGAGATGATTATCGTAAGTGAATTTTACGGATGAATTTTACTGCGTCGAAAATGATCAATTAACTTTTTCCCTAATGCTGACTTAATCAATTTTAACTTGTAAGTTTCTTTGTTAACTAGATACGTGGATTAAGTGGATGAAATTTATATTCGATATATTATAGAGAAAAAAGTGACATTTACACTCTTTTTTATATTATTATACAGTAGTAAGTCAGAGAATTAAAATTAAATTATCAAATATTATTAAATTATTTTCTTAATACAACTCATTATTATATCACAGACTGAATCAAAACTCAGAAGCTGATGCATCTTCGAATAGTCGCTTCTTAATTCTCTGTTAAAATTTACATTGGCGATAGTTTATTAAAGGATAGCGCGGCTTTCACAAGAATTATGCAATTCCACTGATAGGAAAACCCTCGGAGACAAGCGAGATACGAGCCACAAACAGTCTGCAGTTGTTGTTGATACATTATTCAGTTTTAAAGAGATCGTCCTGTTTAAACACACGCTATTCGCATGATATTCTATTACGGAAGGTTTCCCTCGCGGGATTTTATCCCGCGAAACTGGAATCGCACATACATATATATACGCTATACCTTGCATATGTGTCGAGTTGTTACCGCTTGTGCTCCGCCACATAATTTCTATTTTCTATTCACACTGGGAGCTTATATAACATTTGCGTAAATGAGCTTTCTGAAGTATGTTCGTAAGTTGTTTGTGTAACATATTGATACAACAATTTGTTAGCTCGTACTATTTGGAAATCAAACTATCTTTTCTAACAGATAAATGTCAAATGCAGCTACTAAAAATATATGCAATTAGAACGTATTAGTCTTAAGAAGAATATGTTTCTTTTTTCACAGTATATTTTTTAATTTGATTTTAATATATAACATTTTATCTAAACTTTTATTTCTTTTTTTCTGGATGTATGTTACGTGATCAAAAAACTATATATTGCCAAAATTTATCATTATAGTAAAAATATGTGTTATTTATTCGGTCATAATCATGTTTCACTATGATAGCTCTTTTTACTGAACTTTTGCTGCGCGCTTAAACAAACAAATGTATATGTATGTGTACGTACACGCGTGTAGTAGTTGATATATTATATTACATCGTCGCGCATCCTTTCAGGCTTGGCGCAACCGTGATATTTTAATAAGATGTTATCATTTAAAATTTTTGAGGTCGAGGGATCGCATACACAGTTTAATAGTCTCTACATTGCACCGCGTTATTCCGCTCTTTTACTCTGACGTTTTTAGAAGCATGACTAACTGAATATAATTTTCAAGCCTGAATCGTTATTCTTTCAAAAATTAGATAGTAAAATTATATTTTAGAAACATCGCATGATGAGTAATTAGATAGAGATATGTAAATGCAAAGATAAACCAATTTATCCAAAAGATTATAGGGTACGGCGAAGCTATTTGAATAGATTAACCTTAATTCCCATTTTCTTAATTTATGAAATTTATTGCTACTAAATAGAGTACATATATACTTAAAAAATTCTTTTCATCAAATCAAAGCTTAAACGAACAAAATATGACGTTTAATATTTATTACCATAAACCTTAAAATATTATTTAAAATATTTTATTATCGAAATTGTCCGCTGTACTTTACTAGATGAAATTTAAGCTTCCTAAATAAGAGAGATCCATATCTTTAAAAAGACAAAGTTGGTAAAATTAGAATTATTGTGATAGATCTTGCACCTAGAGCATCCAAGTATTTAAATCAAGTTATTCACGGACGAGAAAATTTATATTGTCTAACATTTATAATGGAAATAATTATCGAGTAATTAAATTATGACTTTTGCAATATTAAAATCGATGTAGGTCAGTACATCAGTATTAAATTACAAACAGAAATAATACAGCAATAATAATGAAACAATCCACTATTATTAATTCGGAACATGCTTATTTCATTATGCTATTTGTATAATGAAATCGTTAATAGAAAGAGAAAAAAGATACGATAAAATGCAGGGGAAGAAGATAAGCGGATAGTTGTTCGAAGATTGTGTTGTCAGGGAAGTTCTCGCACAGTACGAGAAGAAAAAAAGATAAACCCCTGAAAACGATTGTTTGCGTGAGACGAGCAAGTTCTTATTACGGGAGGGCGTAATCGCATTGCGTAATTGGAAAGTATATTTAAGGCAGGAAATTCGGTGTAACATTTTATAACTTAATCCGCTTGTAGAGGGGAAGAAGCAATCGCATTATTGCAATGTAATTATATAAGTTCCAATTACGCAAATTGCCGCCGAGCAAATGACTGTTCTCGCAAAGGTGGAAATTGTTCGCCGTGCATAAAACAGCGACAAGATTATCGGTCCGGCGATAAATGCATCGCTGATCGCGCAAATCCATTAATGATCGCGCGCGCGAATATCATAAATTCCGTTCTCTCGGGAAGACGTGCGCCGGAATGCGTCGAAAGACAGCGGAAAAGCTTGGCGCGTCGAGACATTGGTTGTAGCAAGTAGCAGGTAACCGATCAGAGTAGGAGAAGAAGAGAGTTCAGGGAAAAGAAAGAGGAAAAACACGTGCACGAGAGAGAGAGAGAGAGAGAGGGAGCGGAAAGAAACGGAACAGAGGCGGCATGGTGAGATCTCTTGGCAATTTGTCTCACCCTCTCTTTCTCTGTCTCTTTTTCTTTCGAGCGACCCGCTCTTCTTCTCTTCCTCTCATTTTCTCTCTCTCTCTCTCTCTCTTTCTCTCTCTCTCTCTCTCTCTTTCTCTCTGTCTGCTCTAGCAGGGTAGTGACTATCGATCTAGCGGGTTCGTAGGGTGTGGTTGTGTTGGCCGTCGTCGCGACGCCTCCGCCTTCACCCTCTGTCTTCTACCCTCTTTTGCCAGTCAGATCGAAATACGTTCGGCACGTGGCCCCCCCGCACTTCGGTGCACGCGCTTTTACTTTACGAAGTTGGGTGTGCTGGCTGTTGCTCGTCCACTGATCTACCCTCGTCCAACTACCCGGCCTTGGACGGTTCACGTGACTGGGACACGCGATGGCAAAGTCAGCGGAATATTTTACAAACTATGGCACGCATTCTCGCGGATTGCGTTACGTAAATCGATATCTTGAAAATAAAAGTTGCGAACAGCTGCCGAACATTCCGACTCTGGTAAAACGACCTGGTTTTTTGAATATTCGGGCAATGACGCCCGGTATTTTTAATACTATTGTTCAACTCTGACATATATAAGCAAAGTTCTATGGATATTACAAAGTTTCGTGTTCTCATGCTACTGCGCTTATACTTTTCAAATCTTTTTCTTCCTCTAGATAATCTTTTATCTTTCTCTATAGAATGTAAATTAAACTTTTCATTTTTTTTTTATTTTTTCTCCCTTTCTCATCCGTTTTTATTTTAAAACTTCTATTGTTACAAACAATAGTGGTCACATTTCAAATGCAGCCTATTAAAAATATTAATTATTATACAATATAAATTATTATTTTAGATTCTATAAGCTTACGTAAGAAAAATAGCTGACATAAATATATATTTTTAATTACTATTTCATATACTATTTTGCCCATCTCTGATTCTATTACAATTCAAAATGTAACTTTGACTGTAGCAAGTTAGCTAGGGCAGATTTGCGGTAAATTATTATATATTTATATGGAATTTATCCCAGTAGTAAGTTATTTAATAATACGGAATTTACTCACATGTGCTATTATCTATATTGCTATATACTTCACATAACAATACCACAAAATTCGTAATAATACGAAATGTTGTTTAACCGATATAGAAATGTTTCAATTATTGCGTGCGGAATTTTGGGAACATTATACAATAGCTGCATAGATTAACGGAGTTGATATTTATATATCATAAATAAAGAAGAACAAGAAAAGACTAAAGAAAGGTATAGAGAGTTCTTCAGGTACGGACAAAATCATGGCGAACGGCTTAAATCATTACGTGGCCGTATTTACAGTCGCAAAGCGTCTCGCGTTGTGGCGCCAGGATGCTTGCTTACTGAATCCATCTGTAACCTAACTCAATCTCAAGAACTTGGCGATCCATTCTTGTTTGGTGCCCTATTCTCTGTTGTCAATATTAAAGCCCATGCACGAAACAACGTATTAACGCAAATATCCCGGGTACATCCGCATATGTGGCTGCGCTTTAACGGATCGTTTACATACGCGACACACATGTAGCCTTGAGCTGTGTGTACAGGTGTCCACATTGCAGATTATCGTATGACATGTTTGAGGGATTTTAGACGAGAAGGGCGAGCAGAATAAATACTAAACAGTTCTCTAGAATTAACTAGATTATAAGATTTGTCGTTATATACTATAGAAATATATTGATAAATGAATAAGTCGGTCAATAATATCGATAGTAATAAACTCTATCAGCTTTGTATGCATTTTTGTATGCAATAAATTGACGCGTTATACATATTTATTTTAAAATTGAATATTTTTGCGATTATCTGTCTTAAATCATCCATATCGAGGCAATGAATTTTTTTTTTACAAGATATAATATATTTTTCTGTAACATTCTTATTATTTTTAACTTGCATATTTTCAAACTTTTGTTAATACAATGATATACATGTATGTGTGTATGTATATGTACTATAGAATAATACACTTTACTGCGATCATAGTCAAAATTGAAATTTTTATATACTGATAATTGTGTCAAAAGAAAAGATGTAACGCTTCGGCTTTTTTTCTGGTATTCTTTATTTTATACATAAACCACTTTCGTAAATTTATTATCCTCAGAATTATAAAATAAAAATTAATTTAATACTCACCTCCGATCTAATTTGCAATGCAACAGTGGAATTGTAGTGTATACAGTGTTGTAATCTGCAAAATACAAATATACCCAAATTATGTTTCAAGCAGTCAAAATTAATTAATACGTTAAAAAAATTATTGTTTAATTTTTTTGATTTCTGATTTATCTTTTAAACAGACATTTAACAAAAAAAATTTATACCTTTTACACATTCTGTGTGTGTGTATGTATTACACAATAATGTAAGACAAATTCGCAAAAATTAATAAGTTATTAATTTTACAATTAACAAATAATAAATAAAATAATTCACCTCACAATTGCTCTGCCGTCGCTTAACACTTGGATTTCTTTTTCCTCTCGTATGTTTATTTTTTACTATCCTTCTAGCATTCACTCTCCGAAACCACGATTAGTTACGATCATATATGCGTTAGTCAACAGAATATGATAATCATTAACAGTACTCTCGACTTTAACTACATACGACGCGCATTTTATTATCTTACGATTGGAAAATAATGCGAAAATTGTCATCCGCTTGATACTCAATAATCACGTGGCTAAACAATTCATGTCATCACGATATCATTCGTTGTAGCAATGCTATTTTTACTGTAAACGAATTGTACATGCTCGCATCTTTGGGCAATTTTATTATTTCGCGTTATAAATAAATAAAAATAAATTATAAAAGTTATTAAAGAGAAATTAATACGACGACACACGGCGCGCCTCGCGTCGTAACCTCCCCACACGTGTCTCGCCGTGCGAATGACAACAAAGCGACCGAGTCTAACGCGTTGTATTTACATTCCGCCCGCTGTTTACATTCCACACGCGGTCGCCTGGTTATCATTTGCATGGTGAGACTCGAACGGGAATATAGCAGCGTGAGACGCTCCGTGTGTCGTGCCGTATTAATTTATAATATATCTTTTAACTTATGTTTTAACTTATGGACATTTATATATTCGCTCTTATATAACATGAAATGATAAAATTACCGACCGAATGACAGTTTTCGCATTAAATATTTATAAATTAATTTTTCTCTAGTCGCAATAAAAATGCACATAGTGTGATTAACGTTGGGAGTGCTGTGTAAAGTCCCGCGTAATTGTTGTAGTCTCTTGATTAGTGCGCGTGTAATGAATTGTAATTAATTGTGTTTGCGTGATTGTGAGTGCCATAGAACAGTACTAAAGGATATACATGAGAGAAGGAAGAGGTCCAAGCATCAGGCGATGGCGGAGCAATCATGTAGTGAGTTGCTTATAATTTATTTAATTTATTATTTGATAAACACAATAAATAATAAAGCAACGCTTTTGCATAAGATGTTTTTCAATAAACGCAAGTACACTCGACGTTTTACATTTTTTGAAAAGTAAATTTTAGCATTTAATTTAATTTAAATTGGTAATAAAAATTTAATTTCTAATTGACAACATCTTATGCCTTATAAAGTGCATAAGCTTAATTAATCTTTATTGTTCAATTTGCTTCGAGATTATAGTCTCGTTTACAAATTATGTAATCAATACTGCGCTTTGTAAATTATTGTGACTCAAAGAATCGTCCATCACTGGATAAATAGATTGTTGTCAACACGTATTATGAGAAAGTTAAGTTACGCAGGATACCATATCGATCCCATGAGAGATTATAGTTAGTTCTAGGTTTGACTCCTAATTTGTTCTTTAACATGACAGTTGACAAGTTACAACGGCGTAGACTCAGATGCGCTTTAGGTAATGATTTAGATATTTGTTAAACTTATTTCGCTAAAGAAACTTTGAACAGACAAAAGCTTAACTTGGTATTAAGCGAATAATAAAAGTAATAATACCATATATTGATTCGATTTACTTTATGCGATATAGTAGAACGTAATATTTTTTATTCGATCAATGTAATAAAAAAATATAATATATTCTTAATTCCTTTTTTTTTTTAAATAAATTTAATAGATTTT